CACACTAAAAGAAAACTCAAAGAAGCTAAGGGGTAAAACTGAAAAATATGCAGGTAAAAGAAAAGAGTGGAGAAGAGAGTGAGTCAGTGGCTTGAACTGATCCTGATAGGGATAAATAATCTATTTTCTCCCTGATGGGTAGAGAACTAATGGATGCAGTCTAGAAGAGATCAGAAGAAAAGTTGATGCAGTTATGTTTTTTTTCTTCCCCCTAATAAAAATGTTTGTTGATTCTTGCTGATGAGAGTAATTACTTACAGTGGCCTAAAAGTGTATTGACTTTGAAAAGCAATGCAGAAAAGATGAGCATGAAAGTTAAGAAAAAGCTGATAAGATGCAGTGATTTGTTTATTTTTATTTTTATTGATCCTTTTTTTGTTGTGGCTATACATTTTTTTTAAACCTCTTCTTTGAACCTTAAACTTGGAAGGGATAGGAAAAAAGGGATGTGTGCAATGAACTCCTAAAATCTAAAGGTATTGAAATAGCTTTTACTAAGGAAACTCACAGCAGTGATAATGAAGTTGACTGCCAGAAAGTATGGGGTGGAAATCTTGTTTGGTGTCATAAAACTTCACAGAGTGCAGGAATAGCAATCCTTTTTTTTTGCTGAACTTTTCTCCCAGTTTGCATTGGAGCTGACAATATTGTACCTGGAAGATTGTTAAAGGTTATTGTTAAATATCAAAATATATACAAAAGTGATTGTATATGCACCTGCTAACACAAGGGAATCATCTGATTCTTTTTTAGATAATTTAGCAAATGCGCTGTTAGGTTGTGTGTCAACAGATTACCTGTTTTTATTAGGTGTTTTTAATTGTGTGGTTCATGATTTGGAAATAAATCGTTTAGAGCTACATTTACATTAGAGGACATGAAACATGTAATGTGGCACTCTAAATTTGGAACAACAAGGACATATGCATGGGCTCATAATTGAGATGACATTTCTTTGGAAAGATTAATAGACTGTTCTGCTATGGTCATCACTTACAAACATTTAGGTGATGCTCTTTGTGTCCATTTGGTTTTTCTGACCATTATATTGTTTTCAGAAGTGTGTTTAGAAATAGATTAAGATCTAAGAGTACATATTGGCTTCAATACTGTTCTATTAAATGATGCTTTTTTTTAAAAAGGATTTTCTTTTATTGGAAACAATGGAAAGCCATGGTATCTCAGTTTACATCTGTGGAAAAGCAGTGGTATATTGGTAAAATAACAATCCAGCAGGTTTGTAATCAATATAAACACAATGTTACGCGAGAAATTGTCACTTCTATTAAAGAATAAGAGAAATTTTCTTTCTGTCTTTGAAATCTGTGAGTTTTTAGAGTACAGTTTTCTAAATATGTTTTTATTTATGATCCAAAATATTGTACAAAGAATAAATCTCTTCATGTTTCTTTAAATTTCATCTCTGGTACTGCAAAACTACCTATATGGATGTAATAGAAAAACAAGGTTAATGGACATCAGACGGATGGTGCTTGTGATTCATTTCAGAGATTCTTAGTTGTTTGAGTTCATGTGGAATATGTCATGATGGGTTCACTGATGAGACCCAGTTATGCAGAACACCACGGAGACGGAAACAGGAGTAAAAGTTTAACAATGTTTATTGTTCACAAGCACATGGAACATTGTCTGGAACTGGTTCAGGCCTGGGGACTGGTTCACTGGAGTCTGTGTAGATAACAGAGCAGTTAGCTTTGAGAGCAATGGGGTTTGGGTTTGTGATGTTCAGATTAATACCTTGAGGGTTCCGGTTTGAGTTCAGAGAGAGGGGCTGTTGAGTCCAGAGAAGGTTTGTTTCAGCAGAGTCCAATAACTGCTTCAGTGTCTTACTTCTGATGAGGGTGCAGACCTTGGCTTTGGGTTTCCAGCTCTTAATCCAGAGCTGCATGGGAAATCCAGAGAAGAGTCTTCAGGTTTGGCTCAGAGGGCAGGCTCGGCAGTCTAAGCTCATCCAGAGCTTACAGAGAAAAACAGGTTTCCTGGAAACAGAGACACAAAAGGAGTAGAATCCTAGCAGGACTCAGAGGGCAATAAAAGATTTCTCAGAAGGTTCTTTGGCTCAGGTGCTAACCAACTAGATTCAACACTGCGGCGTCGAGGCAAGGTCTGAAGGCAGCTTTTATACTGTGGATCCTCTGATGATGAAAAGAGCCACAGGTGCGTCGAGAGCTCGGCTCAGGAGGATCCACGGCGGACTCTGCTGGAGGAAGGTGGTACTTCTCCAGCTCCCAACAGAATATGTTTTTTTTTTTTTGTTTAAGTTGAAAGAATATGGATGCACTTGTAAAAATGTGGCATATTAATGATGTTTTGTGTACGGTGGATGGAGCACCCTTAATTTTTGCTTTTTGCTTTTTATTGTTTCATGTTGTTTAATTTTGACTGTTAGAGGGGGGAAATAAAGGTGATTTTTAAACCTCTTTCTTTGAAATCTGTGAGTTTTTGGGGTACTGTTTGCTAAATGTGTTTTTACTCATGGTCCACGGTATTGTGCAAAGAAGAAATCTATTCATGAGCTTTTCAATTTCATCTCTGGGACTGCAAAACTGGCTATATGGTCATGGAAAAACCAGGTAAAATCAACCAAAAATCTCCTGATAGTTTTAAATAAGGTTAACTAACTTGGTTATTTTATTACTAATCAAATGAGGAATGATGATATATATAGTGACAATATATAACAATAATAAAGTCAATTGTGCAGGCTAACAAAAATGTAGCTTCAACTCAGTTTCACTAAAAGTGGTTTTGTTTAAAGCTTGTTGGGTTACACTATATACTGCCCCTTTGTGGGCATTTTAAAAGCAGCATAGCATTAAAATGATGCCTGTTGCATAAAATGATGCAATGAGAATCCTGTGGAAGGTACAAAGGTGGAAGTGTTTGTGAGCATTGATTGGCTGAGATGCCCACATACACATATTTAATTACCTGTTCTGGAGAATGTTTGGGATTTCTGGTTTGTCAGAACATTGTTAATTAAATAAAGTTCCCGATGTTGGCTTAGGGAGAAGAACTAGTTTATTCTCATTCTTCTTGATAACACTAAACTTTCTCTGCAAAATAAATCAACTGTGCGATAAATTGTTGGAAAATGATAGATAAATAATCTGATGGGTTTGCAATACCAATGTATCCAGGTTGGCCGTCACGGATCAAATAGTCTTTAAATTGGACACACGGGAAAGATGAAGGCAGGTAGAACCAAGTTCCCAAATGCAGTGGCTGAAGTACCACTGTCACAATTGTCCCTCTCTCTCCAGATGTTGCTGACCCTACATGTTTGAAGAAGACCTGCTTGCAAACTACAAACACAGAGACACGTGTTTGGTTGAAACTTGTGTTCCAGGCTTGAGGTAAGTTTTGGGTGCCATTTCATAAAATCCAAAAAAAGTATTCACCCTAACTCTAAAAGAATTAGCACATATAGTGCGGAGCCTGATTTGGATTTTACTTTGGGGTTTCAGTTACACTTCAATTTATGTCATTCTAATCCCTGTTGTATTTCTTGGTTACCCTCTGTTGCCCCCTAATTCCACTCTGCTTACCCCCAAACTCCCTTCTAGCTATTTCTGTCCACACCTGCTCGCAATGGGTTGATTACTCCATTCATTGTTATGTTTGCTACATATTCCTGTGCAGTTACTCTTTGTTTGATTCTCCTCATTCTGACCTTCCATTTTGTTCTGGTTCCTGTGTTCTCTGTTCTGCTTTTTTTTTCATTTATGCTTTGGTTTCCACAACTCTAATTAATAAATCTGACAGAAACCACTTCACCGCCTCCGTCTCTGCATTTGGGTCCTCTACAAACCTCCACTCAACGTAAAACATTTTATATCTTGAAACATTTATATCTTGGGCACATATAAAAATAGAAATTATAGCATTATAGTATGAGTACTATTATTTTATACATTAATTGTGCAATATATATGTATATTATATTTAACAAACTGGTTATTTTAAGGTTAAATATGTTATTTATGAGTGATAACGATTATTTATAATAATATCCAGTAAGTTTAATTTCTTTTGATTAAATTAATAGAAAGAAGAAAACATAAATCTTTTTCAATTTTGCCTATTCAAGCTATTGATTTACTCATCAGGCATGAAGATTTCCTTTCTTCATGCCTTTAAAAAGCATGAAGAAAGGAAGTCCTAAAGAAAAATCTGTAAAAGCATCAACTCCACTTTCTTCTTGGTGGCAGACCCAAAATTTGGAATGGAAGAAAAAAAAAAAAATATAGTAAAATATAATTTTACTATAATATGAGAAAAAAACTCAGAATTCAGAGTTTAATCTCAGAATTCTGACTTTAATGTCTGAATTTTGACTTTTTTTTCCTCAGAATTTGGACTTTAATCTCAGAATTGTGACTTTAATCTCAGAATACTGACTGAACTTTGACAACTAACAAACATGTTAGCACCAAGCCGTGGCCATGTTGTTTCTAGAGACTAAACTAGCTCTCTTGTTTTAATCACCTTTTTCCATTAATAAAACACATCACATCACCTTTTTCCATTAATAAAACACATCACTGGGGACCCCTCGGGCACGTAAAACGTCGCCTAATTCCATAATTTTCCACCAAAATCATAAAATTCTAAGATTAGTCAGAATTCTGAGAAAAAAAGCCAAATTCTGAGATTAGAGTCATAATTCTGAGAATAAAGTCAGAATTCTGAGAAAAAAGTCAAAATTCTAAGATTAAAGTCAGAATTCTGAGATAAAGTCAGAATTCTGAGAAAAAATTAAAATTCTGAGATTAGACTCAGAATTCTGAGAAAAAAGTCAGAATTCGGACTTTTTCCCCATATTAAACTGAAAAAATATTTAAAAATCAGTCACCTTTTAATTTTTCAATGGCCCTAATCCTCTTCCGTGTCATCATCCTTATCTCTTAGAATATGAACTTCCCAGTTTGCGGAACATTCTAGGGTTGTGAAGGGAGGTTTATTGTGAAAGTCTTCAGTAGGAAGCGCTCCAGTGATGATGCTGTGAGCAGCAGAAACGCCCTGCCTCCTCTCTCCTCTCCCCAGCATCCATCCATCTCCTCCAGCCGCGGACGAGCCGCTCTGAGCGGCCAGAGAGAAGAAGCACATCCTGCAGGAACCGATGGCCTGCTAAACCTCCCTATAACACACAAGAGAAATGGATTCCCTGCCTCCGTCCATCCTCCTCCTCCTCCTCCTCACCATCAGCTGCTCCCCTGCTGCTGCTGACAAGCGATTCGGTGAGTTGAATAAACAGATTATTATTATTTATGCCCAGCAGAGGTGAGCTGCAGCTCTACAGTTTGATCTGAACCAGACATGTTTGTGTTGGAGATCTGTGTCAACATTGGATCAGGAAACGATGGGCTTCACCTGAGCCCAGGAAAAACAAACACGGTGATCCTCTCATTCATTTCTCTAATCTGTAATCCCTAACAAATCAGGACCTGGCTGGAATAACAAGGCTACAGAAAAGAGCAAAGAAAAAGGTGCTCAAATATGTACCTTTCCATCAGTAGTTGCAGAGCTGCTAGTCAGAGCTGTTGGTAGCTTCATAATAATAATAATAATTATATTTATTGAACAAAGTAGTAAATACTTTAAGATTATTTAATCAAAAAAACTACAGAGGATAATTAGGGCCATTGAAATAATAACAAAGTTTACTTATTTTTTAAAATTTATTTCAGTTAAAAATGGGTGGGGGGGGGGATGAGAATTCTGACTTTAATCTCAGAATTCTGACTTTAATCTCAAAATTCTGACTTTTTTTTCTCAGAATTCTGACTTTAATCTCAGAATTCTGACTGTAATCTCAGAATTCAGACTTGTTTTCTCAGAATTCTGACTTTTTTTCTCAGAATTCTGACTTTAATCTCAGAATTCTGACTGTAATCTCAGAATTCAGACTTGTTTTCTCAGAATTCTGACTTTTTTTCTCAGAATTCTGACTGTAATCTCAGCATTCAGACTGTAATCTCAGAATTCAGACTTGTTTTCTCAGAATTCTGACTTTAATCTCAGAATTCTGACTGTAATCTCAGAATTCAGACTTGTTTTCTCAGAATTCAGACTTGTTTTCTCAGAATTCTGACTTTAATCTCAGAATTCTGACTTTAATCTCAAAATTCTGACTTTTTTTTCAGAATTCTGACTTTAATCTCAGAATTCTGACTGTAATCTCAGCATTCAGACTTGTTTTCTCAGAATTCTGACTTTAATCTCAGAATTCTGACTTTAATCTCAAAATTCTGACTTTTTTTTTCAGAATTCTGACTTTAATCTCAGAATTCTGACTGTAATCTCAGAATTCAGACTTGTTTTCTCAGAATTCTGACTTTTTTTCTCAGAATTCTGACTTTAATCTCAGAATTCTGACTGACTGACTGATTCTGACAGACCCCCCCCCACCCAGGCATGTAGAAATTCTTCTAATTCGGTGTGTTACTGGCCCTCCCAAACAACTCACACCTTTGTCAGTGAACCTGGGTGCTCCATCCAATGGCTTAAATATCGGTAAGCAGAGACTGCAGTTGCTTAGGGGCCCCCGGCCTCTTAGGGGCCCCGTCACTGACACCTGGTTGGCCCCCTACACAATTGTAGACTAGGACGTCTATTTGCAGATGTAAAGGCGTGAAAAATTCCTCTTAAGCACACCTGATACTGAAGTGACTCACCGCACCGGACCGTATTTTATACCCCAACACATGGCAGATTTCCACATGATGGTGAGCCATTTAAACACCGATAGCAAAGCAGACAGTGGTACTTTTAATTACTATGTTACTAACTGTGTATAGTTCATTAGACGGTTGGTAAAAATTACACTCATATAATATGTTTCAAACCGCAATAAAGATCTTAAAAGAATGATATATTTTAGTATTTTATTTTTTACACTATGACTTGGAATTATGGGTAATCCAGAGCGTAGATTAAAACCATAACCTTTACGTACAATGTGTTAGCGACGATGGATACCAAAAAGAGGTGCTTAAGCCGATTCCAGAAAAGAAAAAGCAAAGAATTTAGATACAAGCTTTTTACGGAAGAGAATTAGGGCCACTGAAAAAAAAAAAGGAACTTATTTTAAAATTTTATTTCAGTATAATATGAGAAATAAAAGTCTGAATTCTGACTTTAATCTCAGAATTCTGGATCTTAATGTAGATGGGCATCATGAAGGAAGAGATGATGGAGCCAGTGGGCCCCATATAAAGTACACCAGCCCCCCCACCCCCCACAATAGTTTGTCTGTTTTTTTTTTATATTTTGGTATCCAGAATATGTATATTGACACAGGTAAAAAAATATATATATACATATATATTGTGAGGGACCGAGGAAAGAAGCACGAGGAGTCTCAGGAATTAATACAAAAATTGGGGTTTTTATTTTCAACCCAAAAAGAAATTTACAAAAAATCCATGGGTTTCGGGTCGGTTGTCTATGGCGGTGGTGGGGGGTGGAGGGGCTGGTGTACTTCATATGGGGCCCACTTGTTGTGTTGTTACACCACTGGCTCCATCATCTCTTCCTTCATGATGCCCATCTACATTAAGATCCAGAATTCTGAGATTAGAGTCAGCATTAAGACTTTTTTTTCTCATATTATACTGAAATAAAATTTTAAAATAAATTCCTTTTTTTTTTAGTGGCCCTAATTCTCTTCTGTAAAAAGCTTGTATCTAAATATGTAGACAATAAAACATAATGCATAAAAGCACAAACAGTATAGAGAACAGTATTAATGAATCCAAAATTATGATGTGTTGAATAACAATTCAACAAAAGCAAAACCTCTGTTATCAACACATGATTAATAATACCTGTAAATTAAGTAAAAGTGTAACTAAATGATAAAGTATGCCTTTAATACAATTATAACAAACATAACTTTTTTGAAAGAGGAGCATTATATAGTTGGCGGGAAAAAAAAAAAAAAAAGATTTGTTCTGTAATAACTTACCAAACATTTGAAAAGAAAAAAACAATAAGTTAAATTTACATACAAACCATCTATGTAAACAAAACAAAATTTAAAAACAAATTAAATCTATATGCAAAGCTGACATTAGAAATTTAAAATAATTAGAAAAAATGAAAATGACAATAGTGCTAGATCCCTGCAAAGTGATAAAAATGAAACTGTACACACTCTCTGCTCCTTACAGATGCAGCTATCGATTGGAAAAGTGTGAGACTATGTATGCCTGTTAATGCATGACGGCTGATGATAAGGGCAGAATATTGTCTATTTATGGATGATGTCTAATATTACCCCATTGACTTCACTGTGGAGGCTGTAAGATGACTGATGCAGAGAGGTGGAGAATCTGGTACTCACAGGGAGACCTCCTCCTGCTCCTCAGCCTCTTCTCCTCCCCAGATTATATAAGATGCTTGAAAGAATGACTGCCACAGTCTGCTGAAGAGATGAGCCATAAAATCCTAATGAAATCTACATTTATAGATCAGTCCACACTGATTGATACCTGTAGGGGCTTTTCCAAATCCTTTTGTTTGTCTTACCATAGTTTGTCTGTTTTTTTATGTTTTGGTATCCAGAATATGTATATTGACACAGGTAAAAAAAAATATATACATATATATTGTGAGGGACCGAGGAAAGAAGCACGAGGAGTCTCAGGAATAAATACAAAAATTGTTTTTTTATTTTTAACCCAAAAAGAAATTTACAAAAAATCCATGGGTTCAAGTCATAAAAGAGGTCAGCCAAAAAGAGAAAATTTAACTCAAGCAAACTGTGCCTAAACTAAGTGACTGCATAAACAAACATAACTGACCTAAGAAAGAAATGACACGAGGGTATATATAGACTGGCTGATCAGACCATTAACACAATAGGAGAAATTCAAACTTAACAAACAATAACAATAAATAGATTTAGGTCAGGTCTCATAGAAGGCAACTTCAGAATAGTCCAATGTTTTCTTCTTAGCCATTCTTGGGTGTTTTCAGCTGTTTGTTTGGTTCATTATCCTGCTGAGCTGTGACTGAGACCAAGCTTTCTAACACTGGGCAGCATATTTCTCTTTAGAATCCCAGATGAAGCAAAGCGGCCCGCATCATAACAGAACCTCCTCCATGTTTCACAGTAGGGACATCGTTCTTTTCCAGATATGCTTCATATTTTCTGTTCTACAACATAAAGCTGATGGGCCTTGTTTAATTTTTGTCTCACTTATCCATAGGACATAATCCCAGAAGTTTTACGGTTTGTTAACATATAGTTTGGCAGATTCCAGTCCGGCTTTTTAAAGCTACAGTGTTTAATAATTACAGGGATATACAGTCAGAAATGTAATATATTATACATAACTATGTTATTTATCATCATCTACGAGCTCAGCCTCTTAACCTTAATATTAGCGTTGCCTTAGAATTCGTAATTTATAATTACATAGGAGCGGGTCTCGCAGCCATGGAGGCAGACATCTTTGCGCTACGGCAGCGCAGAGCCAACAAACTAGTGATTGCGAGATCGCCCTTTACGCTCGAAAGTAACTACGGCAAGTTGAGAGAGATGAACTGAGATGGTACTGAAATCTATACCCTACACAGACTAATTAAATACTATCTGTAAAATTATCTATGTAAACAAACCTCATCACTTGAGAAGGTAGGTGATGCGGACGTCGTGGAAGACATTTTGTCCCGGGGGGGGGGAAGCGGTGGGGGGGAGATGTTCATGTTGCTGCAGTCTGCAGTCTGGATGTTAGATGTCGCTGAAAATTACACACTGTAGCTTTAATGTTTTTTTTTCAATAATGGTTTGCTCCTTGGTCACCTCCCATTAAGTTCACTTTAGCTCAAACAATGCTTGAAATTCATCTTTTATCTCCTTAAATGTTTTCCTGTGCTCTTCTGTTAGAATTTATTTCAAACTCTTTAATTTGTTGGCTACAACATGTATCTTATGTTCTAAATATTATGTGCAACTTTAATCACAGTATCTTGATTCTGCTTCTTTATTTAATAAATTATGTAATTTTTTTGGAAATTAAAACCATATCTGGCTTTAGTATCTGGCTTAGATTGAATTTGATTTTTTATTTTTTTGCTCTGAACCTTTCTCCACTAACCTGTTACAGGAGACACTTGCTTCCATTAATAAAAATCAGACGAGTAGTTTTTAAATTCAGTTAGATTATTCAATTTTGGAAAAAAAAAGTTGAAGACGGACAGTCGATCAGGAGTGTATATATAATAAACAGTA